ACATTTTTATGAATCTTAGGGAGGGCGTAGAATGTTGGAGTAATAGGGAAGTTGGCTCTAATATATTCCAATGTGGATTTTGTTATAGTGCCACTGAGATATGCACATATGACATATTTCATAATATTCTTTGTGGTATTTCTCAATAAGGGATGTAGAAATAGGCCTGTATCAGTTACAGTTGTTTAACATTTTTTGGCACATAGTTACATATTGTGAATTATCCATAACTACAAGATTGCCCCCCTTGTCCGCACGTTTGATTATTAATGAGGAATTCCTTGAAAGGTGCAACAGGGCCTCTTTCTCACCTATATTAGGATTTTGGATGGATGGTGGGGGATTTTAGCTTCAGTGTGTTAACTGGAACTCGGGGAGGGAAAGTGATCTGACTTCTTTTTTAATTTTGATCAAATCTGTTGGATTGTATTTGCAATAGTGGCATCATCAACAAATGATAGACGTTTAGTGACATCAAGTCGATCAATCAGATCAGTAGGATCGCTTTCTTCCAATAAAGACGTAAGGTGATCCAACATAATTTGATCTGTATTTGTCAATTGATTGCTAGGATCCTGTTTCTCATATAAACTTTTAATTAGAAGCTTTCAGGTAAAAAGTTGGATATCTTTCTCCAATTCAAAATTGTCAAGGCTCTCATTAGGACAAAAGCTCAAACCCCTTCTTAGAATGTTTATCTCATCATCTGAAAGTGTATGAGAAGATAAATTGATAATACTGAGACCATTGTCTTTTAATGGCTCCTTATGTGCATTTCCATATTGGGGACCCCCATGACTGGATACGTGTGAGTAGGTGTTACTTCTAAAAAAGTATCAGATTGAGTGTCACATGAAGAACTTCTTTGTTCTATCAAAGACAGTTTTGTGACATTAGGTGTAGAATTCACAGGTGCAGATTTGTTAGTAGGAAAGGTAGAACCCATCACCATGTTCGGTACATTACCTGATACCTGAAGAGAAGAAGGCCACCCATGTGCAGAATTGCTCCGGATAGACACATTGTGATGTGATGTATATGAAAATTTCTTAGCCGACTGTGCATATGTGTTTTCTTCAAGAAAGTCTTTTAAAACGTGATTCATTCTGATTTGGGGACCCCTGTGAAGAATTGGATAGAGAAGATAAACTCGAAGAAGATTGTGATAAAGCCAAGTGATGGTTATTTCTTCTAGTGAAATAATTCTTAGACTGATGTTGGGTAGAATTCCACTTGTCGGCCTTGCTCTCATGAAAGGATGTTTTATCGCGTTAAAAAGTTTTTTATTTTTTAATACGAATTTCCATGTTGAACCGTTCAAGATGGTCCTTCAGTTTTTTTTTTTATCATAATCTGAAAAAGAGACACGCCTGTTATATGCTGTAAGTTTACCATTCAATTCCTAATTACTTTGTCTAGTGAGTTGGACCACTTTTGATATTTGGATATCAACAAGGACATCATGTTGCGAGAGCAGGCCTGCAAATTCTTTTCCCTTTTGTGTTTAAACCCTGGATCTAAATTCTCCAGGGTAGGGAAAATTTGAAATCTAAGGCCAAAGGGATTAATATCCTCTTTGATATAGTCCTCAAAGGACTTTATGTGCCAGAAAAGAGCAGTTTTCTTTTCTAGAGTCTTAGACAAACTGAAAAGTAGAGAGGAGAGTTTAGAATCTACTAGTTCCTTCTGCCCAAAATCTTTAAGATAACCTGACATCAATACCATCCACCAGGGGCGGACTGACAACTCATGGGGCCCCTGGGCAATAGGGGACCATGGGGCCCCTGTGTCCTTGCCCAAACTCAAAAAAGCCTATGAAAAAGGTACCAGGGGCATCTCATGGGGCCCCCTACTGACCCCGAGCCCTTGGGCAGTGCCCGAGTTTCCAAATGGTCAGTCCACCCCTGCCATCCACAACATCATACCATCCAAGCATGGGTGAATGGAGCTACTCGTCTAATTCATGTACGCTACTGAGAACATATCATATGTAATGCAATTGAGATCGGGATTGTAAACCGTTTAGTGTTTTTATGCAAACATTGTAAGAATAAAGACTAACAAGAACCTTTTATTTAATATTTGTCATGTGGTGCCTTGAAAGTACCATAGGGGTATTCCATGGTGTAACTCCATATTAATGGCCATAGTTTAAGAACATGATGTACAGCAAGCAGCTATAGATATGATCCGTCATAAAGCCTATGCTTCTTTAGATGCTTACATGTCACTGCCTCTCCCCTACCTTCTCTCCCTTCCCCGCTGACCCAATGCTAGAGATGGACAAGCAATGAACTGGATGGAGCAGTTGTATAGTAACAATGCCCAACTCCAATCAACTGAAAAAATTTAATTTGCAATAATCACTCTGCATCCCCGATATTTTGACTAGAGGGACTGTGAACAAGGTGAAGGACTTACCTCATTCCTTGCTTTTTGTTAAGTAAATCTTTCATCTGAGTTTGCATTGTACTTTCTCAAGCTCTGAATGGGAGGGTCATTTACCAGCTAAGACCTTTCAGGCCTGAAAATTACATGCGGTGTTAGAATGTTGGGGGTGTTTTATGGTTGGATAGGTTTAATGTTAGCTATTGGGTTAAGGATTCATTTTTAGATTTAGGTTTTACAATTAATAGTTTAAGATTATTATTTGATGGTGAAGTTTTGCATTAGGAACCTCTGCTAAAAATAACTATATCTACAACACATGATACATTAATGTGGTGGTCAATGGGAATAATTCTCCTTACACTTGTGGTCATTGGGAAGAATTCTTCCATTACAGATAGCTAAAAAGAGTAGGAACTTATCTGAGAGGCAGAAATTGCTCAGTGAACCTTTAGCAACCTCAGGAGAAACCATAGAGTTCCATAGAACCCTGGATGAGAAACCTTGGGTTAGGGACTGGTCAAGGATCAATTATATTCATTAACCACCTGAGTCTACTCCACAGGCCTTTTTTTGAGACCCAGAGCTTTTTTTCCACTTCAAAGATGTCTTGATTACACACCTTATACTTTTTACCATTTGTAGTCTACCCTAACATATGTAGCACTACCCCTAGAGATGAGCGAATCGAACCAGGCGAACCGGAATTTGAGTCGAATTTCAGGAAATATTCGATTCGCGGCGAAACCGAAATTTTGCCTACTTCGGGTGCGCGAATCGAACATTTCCCGATCAGCCGGCAAAAGTGTCCCTGCAGTGAGCTCCGCTATTTCTGACAGTTCTCTGACAGAAGGAACACATGTTTAGCGGTTGAAACATTGTATCTATTAGTTTACATTTAGGATACAGATGTTTCAACCACTGTTCATGTGAAGAAGCTGTGAGAGAACTGTCAGAAATAGAGGAACTCTGCACATACACTTTTTGCCGGCTTGGAATTATTCTTCTTTTCATCCTACTTCTTCTTCTTCTTCATCTTCATCCTCAGAAGAAGAGGATGAGGATGAGGATGAAGAAGAAGAAGAAGAAGTAGGATGAAAAGAAGAATAATTCCAAGCCGGCAAAAAGTGTATGTGCAGAGTTCCTCTATTTCTGACAGTTCTCTCACAGCTTCTTCACATGTACAGCGGTTGAAACATCTGTATCCTAATGGAAACTAATAGATACAATTGTATCTATTAGTTTCCATTTAGGATACAGATGTTTCAACCGCTGTACATGTGAAGAATCTGTGAGAGAACTGTCAGAAATAGAGGAACTCTGCACATACACTTTTTGCCGGCTTGGAATTATTCTTCTTTTCATCCTACTTCTTCTTCTTCTTCTCTTCTTCTTCATCCTCATCCTCATCCTCATCCTCTCTTCTGAGGATGAGGATGAAGAAGAAGAAGAAGACGCAGTAGGAATGAAAATAAGAATAATTCCAAGCCGGCAAAAAATGTATGTGCAGAGTTCCTCTATTCTGCAGATACACTTAGAGGAGCTCTGCACATACACTTTTTGCCTGTTTGGAATTAATCTTATTTTCATCCTACTTCTTCTTCTTCTTCTTCTTCTTCTTTATCCTCATCCTCAGAAGAAGAAGAAGAGGATGAAGAAGAAGAAGAAGAAGAAGAAGAAGAAGTAGGATGAAAATAAGAATAATTGCAAGCCGGCAAAAAGTGTATGTGCAGAGTTCCTCTATTCTGCAGATACACTTAGAGGAGCTCTGCACATACACTTTTTGCCGGCTTGGAATTAATCTTATTTTCATCCTACTCTTCTTCTTCTTCTTCTTCTTCATCCTCATCCTCATCCTCAGAAGAAGAAGAAGAGGATGAGGATGAGGATGAAGAAGAAGAAGAAGAAGAAGAAGAAGAAGTAGGATGAAAATAAGAATAATTCCAAGCCGGCAAAAAGTGTATGTGCAGAGCTCCTCTAAGTGTATCTGCAGAGCTCCTCTAAGTGTATCTGCAGAATAGAGGAACTCTGCACATACACTTTTTGCCGGAAACCGCTGTATGGAGGGAATGTCCCAGAACTGTCAGAAATAGTCTATTTCTGACAGTTCTGGGACATTACCTCCATACAGCTGTTTCAACCGCTGTATGGAGGGAATGTCATAGAACTGTGTCAGAAATAGACTATTAATGACAGTTCTGGGACTGTCCTTCCATACAGCGGTTGAAACATTGTATGTATTTGTTTCCATAAATGGATCCATTTATGGAAACAAATACATACAATGTTTCAACCGCTGTATGGAAGGACAGTCCCAGAACTGTCATTAATAGTCTATTTCTGACAGTTCCATGACATTCCCTCCATACAGCGGTTGAAACAGCTGTATGGAGTGAATGTCCCAGAACTGTCAGAAATAGACTATTTCTGACAGTTCTGGGACAATCACTCCATACAGCTGTTTCAACCGCTGTATGGAGGGAATGTCATAGAACTGTCAGAAATAGACTATTAATGACAGTTCTGGGACTGTCCTTCCATACAGCGGTTGAAACATTGTATCTATTTGTTTCCATAAATGGATCCATTTATGGAAACAATGGATCCATTAATGGAAACAAATACATACAATGTTTCAACCGCTGTATGGAAGGACAGTCCCAGAACTGTCATTAATAGTCTATTTCTGACAGTTCCATGACATTCCCTCCATACAGCGGTTGAAACAGCTGTATGGAGTGAATGTCCCAGAACTGTCAGAAATAGAGACTATTTCTGACAGTTCTGGGACAATCACTCCATACAGCTGTTTCAACCGCTGTATGGAGGGAATGTCATGGAACTGTCAGAAATAGACTATTAATGACAGTTCTGGGACTGTCCTTCCATACAGCGGTTGAAACATTGTATCTATTTTTTTCCATAAATGGATCCATTTATGGAAACAAATACATACAATGTTTCAACCGCTGTATGGAAGGACAGTCCCAGAACTGTCAGAAAATAGTCTATTTTCTGACAGTTCTGGGACATTCACTCCATACAGCTGTTTCAACCGCTGTATGGAGGGAATGTCATAGAACTGTCAGAAATAGACTATTAATGACAGTTCTGGGACTGTCCTTCCATACAGCGGTTGAAAACATTGTATCTATTTGTTTCCATAAATGGATCCATTTATGGAAACAAATACATACAATGTTTCAACCGCTGCATGGAAGGACAGTCCCAGAACTGTCATTAATAGTCTATTTCTGACAGTTCCATGACATTCCCTCCATACGCGGTTGAAACAGCTGTATGGAGTGAATGTCCCAGAACTGTCAGAAATAGACAGAAACTGTCACAGAACTGTCCTTCTTCTCATCCTTCTCCTTCTTCTCATCCTTCTTCTCATCCTTCTTCTCATCCTTCTCCTTCTTCTCATCCTTCTCCTTCTTCTCATCCTTCTCCTTCTCCTTCTTCTCATCCTTCTCCTTCTCCTTCTTCTCATCCTTCTCCTTCTTCTCATCCTTCTCCTTCTCCTTCTTCTCATCCTTCTCCTTCTCCTTCTTCTCATCCTTCTCCTTCTCCTTCTTCTCATCCTTCTCCTTCTCCTTCTTCTCATCCTTCTCCTTTTCCTTCTTCTCATCCTTCTCTCTTCTCCTTCTCCTTCTTCTCATCCTTCTCCTTCTCCATCTTCTCATCCTTCTCCTTCTTCTCATCCTTCTCCTTCTCCTTCTTCTCATCCTTCTCCTTCTCCATCTTCTCATCCTTCTCCTTTTCCTTCTTCTCATCCTTCTCCTTCTGCTTCTCCCTTCCTCTTCTCCTTCTTCTCATCCTTCTCCTTCTTCTCATCCTTCTCCTTCTCCTTCTTCTCATCCTTCTCCTTCTTCTCATCCTTCTCCTTCTTCTCTCATCCTTCTCCTTCTTCTCATCCTTCTCCTTCTCCTCATCCTTCTCCTTCTTCTCATCCTTCTCCTTCTCCTTCTTCTCATCCTTCTCCTTCTCCTTCTTCTCATCCTTCTCCTTCTCCATCTTCTCATCCTTCTCCTTCTCCTTCTTCTCATCCTTCTCCTTCTTCTCATCCTTCTCCTTCTCCTTCTTCTCATCCTTCTCCTTCTTCTCATCCTTCTCCTTCTCCTCATCCTTCTCCTTCTCCTTCTTCTCATCCTTCTCCTTCTCCTTCTTCTCATCCTTCTCCTTCTCCTTCTTCTCATCCTTCTCCTTCTCCTTCTTCTTCTCATCCTTCTCCTTCTTCTCATCCTTCTCCTTCTCCTTCTCTTTCCTCATCTCCAAGGGCATTTAAATTAAAGGTACAGTGTTCTGCACTAATTTAAAGGCTCTCTGAAGCCTAGAAACCCTTTTTATAAGTCATCTTCGTAGCGAAGAAATTCGCATCAAATCGAATTTCACACTGGAATTCGCCGAATCAGCCGAATCGAATTTTTGAGAAATTCGCTCATCTCTAACTACCCCCTTAGGAGTTGCATTATAATTGGGTCACCCTATAGTCTTGCATAGCCAGGCATCAGGAGACAGTAACCAGTCCTTGAGCTTTGTTTTGAAGTTTACTAGGGGATTTAGAACTTGGATGGGGTAAGGGGTGTATGGGATGCCCAACGCTATGGCAACAGAGGACAAATTTCCTGAACTATGTACAAGTCTTTACAGCAAAATTTCTCTTCTGGAGAGCTAGCCAGAATCTCCTGTAGTACTACCCCAGACCCCAGATGACTCCTCTCCTCATCCAGCTGTACTGGGTGAATCCCTGGGTAGGGGAACCAATGCCTGGCACTGCAGTGTGAAACAGTCCTGGGTAAAATTGCAAATTGAGTTTCCAACTAGAGTGCTCCTTTCCTCTTACTGGCCAAGGGGGTGCAAGTTTACTCACTTGGTCCCTCTCCTGTGCTGCCGGCGGGTTAATGGCTGCTACAAGGGCTTTTAGCTGGGCTGCTCCTTCCTTGCCACACAGTTGGTCTTCTCTCAGGGGGCTGGTGAAGTTCCAAGTTTTCAGCCTCCCAAGGTCCTCTGCCTGCAGGTGATCCCCTCTCCATCTAGGCCCCCTCACAGGCTCCTGCCTTTCAGCCTCACATCCTCCTCAACTTCCACCCGAACTCTCATGCTGCTGAGCAGGTTCAATCACTTTTAAGGATTGTCCTGGCGCCTTGCCAAGCCTCCTGTTGGGGATTGGCCAGGCTCCCTCAAAAGTGCAATCAGCCACTCTTCAGGTCTACCCACTGCTTCTAGACCTTTCTCCAAAGCTCTAGAGCAGGGGGAAATTCCAGAGGGCTGCTTTACAGAGCCTCTCAGCTCTGACCAAATTTTGATCCCTCTGCTAGCTATTACTCCCAGGCTGCTACTCAGCCCAATCTAACAATTGGAGTCTAGCTCCCCCTAGCTACCTAGGAGGGCACTACACATATTATATTTTGTTGTCTTGCAACAGATAGGGTAGCAAATGGATTTGGAAGCAGATTTATATACACATTTTTATTTACTTTTTTGTCAGTAGAAATGGTAAAAAATGAGCGGAAAAAAATTTCCTCTACGTTTTCCAAACACAACATTTAGAAAATGTGCATACCCCCAGATATTTACCCTCAAATATAAGCCTCAAAGTCTTTAAATCACATTACATAATTGTGAATTGTTTTTTGTGATATAGCAAAATGGAAAAACTCAAAGTGAATGTTTGTCTTTTACTTTAGGAGAGCTTTATTGCCCTTTCAACACTACATCACAATACACACAGAAGGAACAAAACAGTTTGCATAAAAGCATGACATATATATATATATATATATATATATTGAAAAAAAATTCCCTCCCCTGATTACTCCCTATTTTTAAATTTTACACTTTTTATGTTTTTTTTTTTCTTGGGGATCCAATTAGGGTCACTGTAGACCAGATCCAGACCCCCTCATGCAGCTATGCAGCGACAGATCATTTCTAATTGTAGCCTACCACTAACTGAATTCAACCAACAATAGATCACTATACAGTGATCTATTGCTGCAGGGAAGTGCTGAACATATCTATAACAGCTCTACCCAAGCTTTCCTACAAAGAAGAAGGCCGTGGCATCACTCTTGATGTGACTACACTCCCGATATAAACACAATATGGAAACATTTTGTTTACATTGATCAGTACAAGAGCTCCTATGAAGCACTGTGTAGTAAGTAATTTTAACTCCTGGGCTGTGTGGTGGATGCTGGATGTCTGAAACTTCCGTTGGATCAACCAAAGACACAAGTTAGCGATTCACACCGCTGCTGAGACAACTAAACGCCATTTTAAAACAGTACTGGGGACTCAAGTAGTTCATTACAATCTGAATAAACAATCTTGTTTAGATTTACCAAAGCAGTAAAAAAATGTATGGTAAACTCTATAGGTCAGGAATATACCTGGGCATACTCTACATGCAACTTTTCAAGACCTTTGCCAAAAATTATCAGGGTAGAAATCAAACATATTGACCAAAATGGCTGCTCCCTAAACTGGACTGGCCATAGACTAACATAACAAAGTGAAATGGATGTTGTAAAGAAAATCTACCAAACATTGACAGTTTATTTCACCCATTCTATTTATAAATGCAGATTCCCCTTCTCAGAAATAAGGCCAATTAAGCTCAGGACGAGTGTGTGATTAACAAAGACTGCTCCTAATAGAAACTAAATCCATTCTCATTTGAAAAGAATAAATGGAGTCAATGTTGAACTCTCACAAATGTCCAACCAGTCCAGAAAAGCATGCACAGATCCCCTCGTCCCTTCCACCTTTTCGGTTCTTTACAGACTCAACTTTATCCAGGTTTGGATAAACAAAGTTTTGTTCCTTCAAAACTCTGCTGTGATTTTTATCTCTCAGGCTTGATGTGATATGAAAGCCAACTCTACCCACAACTGATATTTCAGTTGTCTAAGGCTGTCGGCAAGCTGAACCACATACTGGTTTCTTGAATTTCTCAGTGACACAAATGAACAGATGGTGGACAACAGAATTCCAACTGGCCTGGTCTTTTTGAAATCCAGTGACGGTTCATGGTCCCCAAATGGATACTTTATATTATAAGATAGGCAAATAATTTGGGATTATGTGAAAGGAGTTGTTCATAAAAAGCCATCCTCAATTTCCAGTCCAACAACTTGCCTAGGCTGAGATGATGTCATCAATCTGCAACAGGCAGGAGAAAGCATTTGACTGTGACTGCCAATCCATATTGGTTTAAAGATAGATATTACAGATAGAAGCTCATATATTTTACTCCCTTAACTTTAAAGCCCATCTCCGGGAAGACAAAAATGCAGTGAAATTTCAGTTGCCCTGCAAGGGTTGAATGCTTGCTTAGGTTAAAAAACAGGTCTACTTACCTATTCAACTGCTCCTTAGGCAGCTGGCGCTCTCCTCCACTCCCCTACGCTTCAGCAATGGACTGTTCCTCTGCATTCTCACATCCAGTGCAGGGCTATCAGCTTTGCATTGGTCTTGATGATATCAGAGGGAAAAAGAACGGCAGGGATCAGTCTTATAACTCGGAGGGACCCTGCAGGAGTGGTGGATTGGGTAAGTAAAATGTGTTTTTGAGGCCCCCCCAGACCGAAATGAGCATTTACTCTTGCAGTCCATGGGGCAGCCCCAATGTAAAGGTGCATTTTGGTCTTGTCCGGATTTCAGTTTCAACGTTTTTTTGAACAAATAACATCGTTCCTCTGAAAAAAATATGGGCTTGTCCAAATATGGACAATCAGGTCACATGTATGGGCTCATAAAAATATGCCAAGAACAGGAAATCTGTAAGTGCTCAAATGGTAGTTTGGGCACAAGAGAAAGGGGACCATGCTTCCCTTTCTGCTCACCTGGATGGACATTGTGAGACATTCCAGGAACCTATTAATGCTATTTGTTTTCTGTGTTGCTCTCCTTCTCCCCTGTCTTGTATACTCACATGACATGGTGAATTTGTTAGAGGTCTGGGGACCAAAAACAAGATCACCAGGGACGGGCCAATCACCTACTTGCACCATATGGTGAACTTGGTGGGGGTCTGAGGGACTCAAAACCTCATTCACCAGGGAGTGGGTAACCACCTATTTTCCCCTCATGGTGAACTTGGTGGGGCTCCAAAGGACCACAAAACCAGTTTACCACTGAGGAGGCAACCACCTACTTGCCTCTGATGGAGAATTTGTTGTGGGTCTGAGGAACTATAAAACCAGTCCTTCAGAGAGGCAACCACTTACTTGCCCCTCATAATTCGAGGGACTTCAAAGCCAGTTCACCAGGGAGAGGGCAACCATCTATTTGCACCTCATGATGAACTTGGTATGAGTTCCAAGGGACCAACCACCTACTTGCCCCTCAGGATGAGCTTGGTGGGGTTTCAAGGGACCCCAAATTCAATTCTTTAGGGAGGGGGCAACCACCTCCATGTCCCTCATGGAGACCTTGGTGTGGGTTTAAGGAACTACAAAACCAGTTCATCAGGGAAGATGCATCTACTTTCTTGTCCTG